AGCCATGGGACAGAGATCTGTTTGAATGAGTTAGACTTTGGAGACTCAAGTGACATGCAGATTTATCCAACATACAGTTTGGTGGGGAAGAAGTATGGCACCAGTCAGACTGTAGCTGGGCATTCAGTGATCATCAGTTTTGAGGAAGCAAAATCTGGGCTTTTGACTTTAAGGCGTGAGAATAAAAGAGAAAGAAGTATTTAACTATTGAAAGGCTGCTTTCCCCTTCAATAGAGAAAATAAAACCTTCTTATCCTGGAAAAAAAGGAAAAAGAAAGATAAGAATAGAGGAATGAGGAGGAGAGGGGAAGCAATGAGAAAGGAGAGTTAAAGAGAGATATTAACGTGTTCTTGAGATAGTATGTTCTTTCTCCCAATACCCCATCGTGGTCTGTGTTAAGGGAGGAGTCATCTAAGGAGAAATGATTGAGAGATTCAAGACTAAGTAGAGAGATCTAGGCAACACCCAGCATTTCATATGCTCTAAGAATAACAGATCCATAACTGTGAAGGAAAGATTTGCATTTTTGATGAGAACAGTGGTCTGTGTGATCTGATGACCAGAGAAGTGATATAACAGGAGAAAATTATGGGCAGTACCATGGATAGAAAACGTTGTCCAAGGACTTAAATCCAGCTAAGATTGGATTACACAATCTTAAATACACTGAGATTCAGTGTCTATCGTTTCATTGTAAATAAGGCTCAATAAAAGGCATAAATTGAGTATAGCATATTTGCATTTGAACATTCATAGACAAAAATATCTAACTAAGGAGTAAGTAATTCAGCTCTGCAACCCCAAGATTTTTTTTTTTACATCTTCTATAGCTTAGGTATATCTATGATAGATAAAATCACTTTCTTTTAAAAATGGCTAAGGATTACTTATTTCAAGTTATGTGGTTGTTTGGGTCCTATGGATTAGAAGAAATAGGAGCAGGGAGTGGAAGAGAATATTTAAGAAAGGTGCTGAAAGTGTTCAGAAGGATTTTAAGAGCACCTCATACCTGGGGATTACTGGGAGTGTTTTAGTCAGCTTTGTTACTGCTGAGGCTAAAAGACCCAACCAGAACAATTTTAGAGAAGGAAAAGTATATTTGTGGTTCCTTGTTTCAGAGGTGTCAGTCCATGGGCAGCAGGCTTCATTCCTCAGGGATTGAGGTGAGGCTGAACATCTTAGCAGAAGAGTATTGCAGAGGGATGCAGCTCACATGATAATCAGGAAGCAGAGAGAGACTTCATTCTCCAGATACAAAATATATACCCCAAGGCACATCCCCAGGCACCCATCTCCTCCAGCCACAGCCTATCTGCCTTCAGGTACCACTCAGTTAATCCCTATTAAGGAATTAATTCACTGGTTGGATTTAGGTTTTTACAATCCCATTTTTTCTTGCATTGTCTCACATATGGGCTTTTGGGGGTCACCTCACATCCAAGCCATAACTGGGAGGTTTCAAAATCATTACTTGGAAGGGAAAACTGCCTCCTGAGTCTCCTCCAGTGGCAACACTGGACCTAATTGTAGAATGTGGGCAGTGTGTCATGGCAGGATGCAGTTTTGCTCCTCACCTACTTTTCTTTCCCAGGTACCCATGAGTCAGTGTTGCCTCCCTCCTCCTCCAAAACCATCCTCTGTGTGTCCTGTGTTCTAACCAAGGTAGATGACACAGTGAATAGTGTTTGGGCTTGTGCAATGTCACCACCCTGTCATGTCCAACTTGGCTTCATAGAGTTCCTTTTTTCTCTTTCTCTGATAGCGACTGTTAAATGGTTTCATTTCTTACTGAAAACCAATTTATGGAAATGCAAAACCACTTTTATTTAATAATGTGTATTATCAAGACAGAACTACTGACTCATTCAAAGAAGTTCCAATCAAGTCCTATACATTACTTGAGTTTTCTATTTACTTATATTTTTTTCTCTCTGTGGAACCTGGGAAAATTACACAGCAATCTGGCTCTTCACATTTTAGAAGAAATTAAAGTATATTTTGGTTCATGAGCACAGGGTGGATTTTAAGGAAAGAGATGTATTTTGTATTATAAAAGGTGATTTTCTAAAATAATAAAACAAACCACATTTTTAAGCTTGGAAAATGTTCAATCTTTTTTTTTCCCCTAAACAGTTTAAAATGGACATGATTGTTTTGAATAATCATCCCTCACAGTTCCCTTTACCAAATCACTTTACTCAAGGCAAATTTGTAATTTTTTCAATTTCACTGGACATTCTGTATGATATTCAGAATTCAGAGATTATTAAAAGCTCAGGGAAAATGATGCTAGAGTTTCTAATGGAGATTCCATGGTGATGCTGGTTTTTGCAATCATGGTGTTCTTCTTTATTGTTCTCCAAAGGTTTCTTTATAAAAAAGGCACATGTAACAGCTCAAAGTTAACCACCTTGGTTTTATAGCCACTGGTCAGTGTTGAGGGGAATGTGCTGCACGCTTCTGACATATTCTCTACACTTGTTCGAATTGACAACATCGGGCTGAGAAACGGCGATTTTCCCAAGATGGATTGGTAAGGAGTCATCTTCTGCCTAATAACCTGACCTCTAGCTCTCCTTCACTGAGCTATGGACCGAAAATGTTGAGATCTCAGACTATGATAATTCTCTCATTTTATTCAACTGCTTGGAAATTGTTATCCACACTGCTAATAGAATTTTTCAAAACGCCTTTCATTGGTACCAAATGCTGCTCTCATGGTGCAGCTGAAAGCAAAGTGTCCCCTCCCTATGGTTGCAGTTCTGTCCTGAAGGATCTAGGCATATTGCCTTTTAACTCTCAAACAGCTAAATGCCTCGCCATCCATCCACTCATCTCAGCTCTCAAGGTGGAATTCCCTTGTCAAGAAAATCACCAAACCACTGTTCTTATCTGTGCACATCAGACTCTACCATAGTAGCTTTTTAAAATCCATTAGATGTAAAAGATGGATTTACACAATCAAATGGGAGAGGGTTGCTACTATACTTTTAAACTGATCCTTAGTACAACACTGTGGGAAAAAAACCCACAGAATTCTAGTACAACATGTTGTCATGGTAACAAAGATACTAAGCTCAATGGAAGAAAAAAATGCTTGGAAAAATCAAAGATGTGAGTATAGCATTAAGATGACTTGATGATATATTGTATGGATACATAAATCTGTGTATTTCTCTTGCTAGATCTTTCTTGCATTTTAATAAGGGACTTAAGTGAAATGGAAATTAAATTTACAAATTTAATTAAAAAAAACAAATACCCTTTGTTCTAAAACTGGTTTCTATAGTATTTTAATTTTGAATGGCTCTCTGAGTGATCTAGTTTTCTGGAAATTTATTGTTCTTTTGATTTTGGCCTCTAGCTCATCGAAATTATTGCTGTCATTCCACTCATATTGGCAAGCAACTGCCCTGACTTTGCATTTTCTACTTAATTCTTGCTTTTATTAATCTTCCCCTGGTCTCTCGTGCATTTCTTCACTTCAACCACATGAAACCAAACAAAACCTTTATGCTTATAAAACTGTGCTCAAGGCAGGGCCAGCAGCCACACTTCCCCCAAATGCATTAGTTGGTTTGCCAACTTTAATTAAGTAATTTATTTTGTGGTCCTGCATCTGTTCTTTACCTCTGAGTCCCACCACATTTCTCTAAATATAGCACGAAAGTACAATTCAACACATCTTCCAATGTCAGGCTCAGACCAAGCCCAACTATGGCAAAAGGATGAAAGGGTGCTTAATCAAGGCAAACGTGCATGTTCCCCTTCTGTGTATTTGACATATTTTAAAAGGACAACTGATTCAAAAATTAGGTATAGTGTGACAAGGCATATTACTCCATTGTCACAGAAATCAGAAAACAGAATACACTTTGAATGAATTAAACTGAGTGTACCGCAATGACTCCTCAAATCTGATTTGGAAAGAATTCTAAAAATTATTGATTTTAAACCAGTAACAAACTGGGCTGGTATAATTCCTTTGACATAGAAATATTTATCAGACCTATTTTAACTAAGGTCAGGCTTACATAAAATGAAATATACAAACCTTAAATGTGTAATTCCATATTCTTTGATAAATACATATGTCCATAACCAGTTCCCCAATTGAAATATGAGACATACACATCACCCCAAAAACTCCTCCCCTAGGCTCTTTAGGTATATTCTCAAGTCCTACTGGCAAAAAATATATTGATTTATATCATCAGGTTAGTTGTTGGTTCATGCAGTTCAATATAAATGAGATCATGCACAGTGTCTGCATTGTGTCCACCTTCTTAGATCAACATGTTTTTCTGACTCATTCATGTAGTTGCATGTATTAACAATTCCTTCTTTTCCATTTCAGTGAGTATTCCTTTCTGTGATTATAGTATATTCCTTGTTGATGAGAATTTGCATTGTTCTCAATTTGGGGTCATTATGAATAAAATACTACAAAAATGCTTATTTTTAGAGACAAATTTCTCTTGGGTAAACACCTAAAAATGACATTGATGGTTCATAAGGTAGGTATGTGTTTACAAGAGCCCACCAGTTTTCCAAGGTCGTTGTCCTGGTTTACATTCTTACCGTTGACCTGTTGAAGTCCCCACACTGTTCTCATGGGTCTTGTTTTGCTTTATTGAGTTTGCAGCTCATTATACCTTTACTTTGCATTTTCCTGATGACTAATGTTGGGGAGTATCTTTTTCTCTATTATTGTTTTTCCTTTTACATGAATGTCTCCTTGTGCCCATTGTAAGGTGGTGGAGATCTTCTCTCATGTTTCTCTCCAGGAGCTTCCTGGTGGGACCTCATCTGATTGTCCTTGGTACGAGGTAGTTTCCAAGGTTCATCTTTCTCCACAACCCTGTCTGCTCTGTTCCTCAGCGCTGCTTGGGGAAAGGGTCTCCATTCTATGTTGGAAAACACCTTTGTAAGGGTCTATTCTAGAATTTCTGTTATGTTCCAACAATCTATTCTTTATCCTTATGCCAATAAGTGACTGTGTTGGATATGGCAGCTTCACAAGTCTTGAAATCAGGTTGATCCTTGAAAATTTCTTGTTTAAACAAATATATTCTTGAATTTAAAAGTCAATAAGCATTTTTATATAAAGAAATATCATAAATAATGCACAGGTAAGTTTATACATTAACATAAATGTAGGGCAAAGGAAAGGACTATAAGCAACAGTGTTTGTTATGGATACATAATGTTTTGAAATGGGGGAGTCTTACACTTTTGATCTCATGCTTCGTTGAAAATATAAAATCTGTTTCTTTTAAATTGACTCATGAATTACTTTCATTTTTGGAAAGTGTTTATGATGAGATTATGACTCCTTTTTCTTCATTGCTAGACCATGTTAACAAAATTCTATTTTAAAGTGTTTTTCACCCAATAAATTTACCAATTTTCCACATATGAGTTGAAAGAAAGAATCTAAAAACTACTATTGGTGAGCACCTCATCTGGCTCAATGCTTACAGATTTACCCTTCAATGAGAAGATACCATTGACTCAAAGAGGATTGTTGACCTGTGCAAGGTCACGTGGTCAGTAGGAGGTGTAGTTGGAATGTGTTTTTGGCATTTCAAAGTCCACTCTGTTTTGTAATCCATATTCCCTCTTAAGTTAAACAAAAAGACGTATCCCGAATAGGTTCATAGAAATTGAGAAAGAGAATGCTGTTGGTATTTGTCCACAGGTCTCTAAGGCTGACTAATGGAAGTGGTAAGGACAGTTCCTGCAAGACCTTCTCCAAGTTCACTGAGAAGAACAGAACTGAAGTCAGCTTTTCTCACCAAACACCCAGGAACCTGCCTAAACCTTCAGTACCTGCAACAGCAACATCATCCATCTTAATTCACAAATCTGTTCCAATTTATTAAAGATCAGCCATCCTGGCCCTTGCTCTTAAAGGCATGAAGAAAATTCTTTAACATTCTGGAATAAGGCTTGAATTTGGCCTCCAAAGTCTGAGTTAAAGAATTTTCCGGGTGTGACTACACATCCACTGTGAGAAGTCTGACATTATGGGACACTGGAAGGCCGATGACAAGGTTAGATGTTCCCAGGTGAAAAAGAAAATAAGATCTTGACAGAACACCAGGGAAATACCACACCGATCAAATACTTAATGAATCAACTTCCCAAAGAAGCTAGGCTGTAAGCCTTTCTCTCTCATCCCAGAAGTTCACAGCATCTTGATTCACAAAATAGAAACAGACAGGGAAGGACATCCTCATCTTTCCAGGCACCGATGCACTGTGCATGTGCTCTGCTCCTGATAGAAAAGATGCGGTGTCCTTCATCCTGGGGGAGGTCAGGCCTCTTCATGATGGACAAGACCTGAGCTGCTCACTCTTCTGGGTACAGTTGCTGCTGGAATCCCACCCTCTTCTGCACAGACAACCCCCTTTCTTCACAGGGTCACCCCAGCAAGCCAGTGCATCTGTTCTGTCTTACAGTGCAACACTGCCTTGATGCAACCCCTCTCTAATTATCACCCTTCTCTTCTGTCTGTCTTGAGTTTACCTGCTGTGACCACTGTTCACCTTTGTCTCTGGCCCCTGCCACATCATCCTGCACCTCCCACTGCCTTCCTCTTATCCACGTGGCAATGGCTTCAGGTTTCACCTGAGTGCTGACAGCCACCTCCATCCCTCTCTCTCCAGTGTGGGATGCTGGATATTTTGTCCCAAGGAGATGAGGCAGATGTTCTGTCTTGGAGTTGAGCTTCGGAATATAAGTTGAGTCACCTTAGATGATATGCTTCTTGAGGACTAGATTTGAGCCTTATAATCCTCTTCTAGTCCCACTGCCTGGTATTTTTGTACCCCACACTCCCTACCTTTGTTCTGTATTTAAAACAAAAGTTTATCATGTCTTTATTAAAAAGAAAACAAATATGAATGTTCTTTTTAAAACATGCCTTTCCTTTAAGCATGTGGTATTATCATGGATACTATATAAAAATAATTTAGGAAAAATGACTTCAGATATAAAAAGTTAATGAACCCTTTCTCAGTGTTTCTAAATTTAACATTGACTACCCTGAACATGAGTTGTTTAGAATAACCAAACAGCCCCAGCTGGTTTTCCCCAGAGTCCTAACAGTAGTGCTCTTATTGGACCAGTCCGCCATCCAGACACCAAATCTTGCTTGCTGTTTTTTACTTTGTTTTTAACTTGCTTGTAATCCCATCTTTAAAATATATATATATCTGCAGCTCATTTTGTCATTAACTCATGGTTTTATGAAATCAACAGAAGGATTATTTTGGATTTACCAATCCTCAGTCATGTTGGAGACTGCCAATTATTTACAATCCTTATGTTTCTACGCGTACTGACCCATAAAACATCTCACGGTGCAAGCCTGGTAGTAGCTGCATGTTTTTCACGGGGGTGCTAGTGGGCACCATGCTCAGATTTGACCACTGAAAAATTTTAACTTTGTTTCCTATGCCTTTGACAGTAGGGTTTGGTTTCCTCTTTTAGTTCTTCTCTGTGCCATTTTCACAGAATCATCCTCTTCTTTATTTCACTCATAATCTCTCTGACAATTGCAGAGGCTTCTCCCTTATGGTTTGAATATTTTCAGGGCACTCCAATATGTTCATGTTGAAACTTAACTTCCAATCACATTATTGAGAAGTGTGACCTTTGGGTGGGTCACTGAGTCATGAGGGCACCACCCTCGATGAATGAGGTTAGCATCTTCATACAAGGGCTCCACTGAGGGCCCTCTTCCCCCTCCACCATGGCTGTCTAAAGTGACAGTATTCCTCCACACAAGAAGCAGCAGTCCTCACCAGACACCAACTGCCAGTGCCTTAATCTTGGACCTCCTAGCTGAGAAATACATTTCTGTTCTTTATGAATTACCCAGCCTCAGATATCCTGTTACAGCAACACAAACAAGGCATTCTTGTTGCTTTTCTGTTCATGAGTCTTCATATTTCTGTATGCCCAAGTTCAATAACAGAAGCAACAGCACGGGGTGCACTCTGCTAAATATACCTGAAGACACTTGTTTTTTTTTTTTTTTTTTTTAATCCTGCACAATGCATTGCTTTAAAATGGGAGGACTTACTTGTTAACATTTAAAAAAGCATACCCACATAACGTGGAGATTTTGTTTCTTTTGAAAACCTGGCAATCTAGGCCAGTGTTTCCACAGATCAATAATTGACAGGATTATCGTAGCAGCTCTGACGTTTCTGGAAGTGAGAAGTCCTGGGCCTGCTCTGCTTTCCACTAGGACCTGGCTGTGATTTCATTTTTCTTTTACCTCCTGACCCTTCCAGGCATTTAAATTTCTGAATTCTAGTTTCTACACTTTTCCATTCCCACCTGTGCTTCTTTGGGCCCCAGCATGCTGCCCGGGACTTGGTACATAATGCCTCCATGAACAAATGCAGGGATTGCTCTGTCTGTATATTCTGGCTCTAGTCCTAATTGTCCTATAAATGCTTGAATTTGGAAAGAGTCACCTCCTCATTCTGTGTGTCTTGGAATGCCTGCTTCTCTCATCATCATAAGCGGAGCATTCTAAGCCATGAAGGCTCATACAGCCTGCCTTCATTTGGGTAAGGAAGAAGGCATCTTCTACATGCAGTGTTACTAGGAAAGTCTTCCCTGCTATGAAGTAACTATTTCTGTGTTACACTATCATATGTCCCCTGGAGATTCCAGCCACCTGGGTTTTTTGGTGTGTCTCTATGAGTAAGGATCAAGAGGTGTATTTACCCCAAATGGAATTACCTGGTAATCACTGTCTCTCTTTTTCTCACTTATCAAATTGAACCTCGTGGGAGGGAAAGAAATGTCATGTATGTTCACTTGGGTTGTGCTTATAGGCATGATGGCTTCTAGATGTTCATTTTTATACTTTATTACCCTGAAGTATAAAAAGTTGTAGAACGATGTACTTCATTTATGAAAAATAACTTTCTAAAATTTTCCTTTCTTTGAAAGAAGGCTTGAATTTATTTTGAATTCATCAAATACATGCCATTTTGGAGACATTAAAAGTTAATTTCCCTCCACTGTTTACTTCAAGGGCATGCGTGTGAGTATCTTTATCAATTGAAGAATTCAGGAATTTGACATTTCCCTCCTTATAATAATACTATTTCCCACAGAAAAGGCAAGCATTTTTAAAATTTCCAAATATGCCCATTTAATTATGCATGGCCTGAAAGCCATTTTTTATTAGGTTAAGCTCTGAGGGCTGATTAAAGTCGATAGCTGGCACCCATTAGGTTTTTCTTAAGCATTGGCTGATGTGAGAACAGAATGCATAAATTGCCTAATAGGAAAGAATTATAGACTACTGCCATACAATCAGCAAACACACGCATGCATATTTAACCTTCAGACAGTCAACGTTCTGTGAGGAAAACACAACCTCCCTTGGTAAGAAATCCTATTACTGTAATGGTATCAATCTGCCTTTTCACTAATAACTCAATAAAAAGCATGTTTCTTTTGTAAACATTCCAGATGAATTTCACAAAAGAATATCAGGCTGAGTCAACAGAAAAGTTGTAAGAAGACTAAGTAGCACACACTAATCCCCCTTCGCTCCTGTAAAAAGCTGCCCAGTCGTGGGACTGGCAGCTTTCCTACACTTACCTAGTTGGAATCTCTGCACCATTAGGGTTCTCCCAGCCAAGGGCACAAATACAAGTAAAACAAACAGACACAAAGTTATTCAGCACTAAGCTCATCCCATCCAACCCCTTTTCCCTATTGTGATCACTCAATAAGTTTCAATGAGTCATACTTCACAAACAAGTTTTCTCCTTTCTGGAGGTACCGTGGGACATGGCAGAGTGTGGCAAGCCAGCAGTTGTAAATGAGACAGGGAATGCCCCACCCTATCTGGGCCCATTGACAGAAGCTTATAGGATTTACCGAAATTCTCACTCAGAAGATTGACTCTGCAACTATATTTGAAACTGGTCATAGACCTGAGTGTCACAGCTGGAAGATATCTCGAGTATTATTTCATCTGATTGTTTTTAGCTTTTTTGTTTGTCTTGCTTTTTTGCCTCCAGAAAAAAATTCTTGCTTCCAATACAGTCATAAGCAAGGCAAAATTCATGAAAAGAGGGTAGGGTGGGGAGAAGTATCCCTCTGTCTCACGTCTTCTCTGGACTGTGGTATTCCATTCCAGCTCAGAGGACTTCACAAAGCACATTTTATAAGTGACTCTACAGCCCAATTTTATGTTTTCCAGAAAGGAAAAGACTTTCTGCAGCATATTTTTTCAACTTAAAATAGGTTATGCTGCACTGACAAGTTCATCTTGAAACATTACAACCAAAGTTTATTTTTTTTTCTTAGAGGTCATTCGCTTTAGGTATGGATTGCTGTCCAGGATGTGAGTCTCTGAGATGTGAATCATTGTTCTAACCACTTCCCATGGTCTCTGTTCCCATCACTAGCCACCATGGTCAATGCTGAGGGAAGGAGGAGATTAAGAAATGACACAAGGTCTGTTTATGGTCACTGTTGCCCACATTCACTAGCCCGACCTTATCATGGAGCCTCTCCTAACCACAAAGGGGCTAAGAAGAGGATTTTGTGTGAAGGAATAGTATAAAAGGAGACTCAGAGAATTCATGACAGTGTTTCTGCCACAAAGAATCACAAGGCTAAGCAGGACTGGTACGGAGAAAGGACTCTGCACTCTTGTTCTAGTACTAAATGGTATGTATCTAGGTATTCATTTGACGCATTCTAGAGATACAAGTCTTGCTCTGTTGGATGCTCTGCCATGATAGATTTATACAAATTCATCTTGCCCTCATCATTGTAATTTAGAGTGACAACTTGTTTTAGAAGAGGAAAGTCAATCCTGCAAACAATGGATACTTTAAATGTGCTAATGTTAAACAGAAACTAATTAATACACTCAGTTAATAAGGACTGGAAGTTTAAATATAATTTTAAAGAATGAATCAGGTTATCAGTTCAGGCATATGTAACACTGTACATACCTTATTTGAAGGTTAAAGTTGAAATTGAAGGTAAAAATGCATCCCACATTTTCAAGGAGTGACTTTGCTCAATTTTGAAAGGCAAGAGGTCTGAAGATTGGGTCAATGTCATTGTTAACATACAGGTAAAGGAGAGCCTTAGTCTTTAGAAAAGGTGACTTCTTGTCCCAGGTCTGGTACCAAGTACTGGTGTGACCCCAGAAGGGTCATTTAACCCTTCCTTTCTTTCTTTTCTTGGAATAAAAACAATCGTATATGTTTTATAATCAATTTGAAGTCACTAATAATTATTAGGAAAGTTTAAAGGATAAGTACTGTTAACATTCTATCATATTTCCCTTTATTTATGTAAGTGTGGATATATCTTTTATATATGTACTCTCAAATGAAATGGAGACTTACTTATGTAATGTTACATTGTCATTTTTTTACTCAATATAAAAATACGAAAATCACATATCCATGCTCTTAATATTATTTGAATGCCCAATGTTACATTTTAATAGTAGGATAGAATCCTGAAGAGGCAACATATCCTAAACTACTGAATCATTTTCTTAACTCGGAGTAAATAAGAAATTTATATTTCTCAGTATTTTTTTATATAATTCTACCAGCAACATTCTTGTACATAAATTTTGTGTACATCTCTGGTAATTTCTTCTGAAGGTAGACTGGAATTATTATACTACACTTAATGTGGAAGGCATGGATATGTTAAATATTAATATTATTTATTGATGTTACTAAATTACACTGAAAATATTACAACACTATATATATATATATATATTTTAATTTTTGTTGTAAAATAATTTAATAGCTTGGCATGGTGGGCACACACATAATCCCAGCAACTCAAGAAGGTGGCGAGTGCTAGGCCTGCCTAAGCAAATTAGTTAGACTCTGTCTCAAAATGAAATTAAAAATTTCAAAAAGGGTCTGGAGATGTAGCCCAGTGCCTTTGGGGGTCAATCCTCAGCAACACAAGTCATAATAATAATAATGATTTAATGTAGAATTGCCCTGTCTTTTAAATTGAAATTTAAAAGACATGAAAAGGATAGGTTATCATGTAATCATGATAGGCTACCTTGCATTTGGATTGTTATTTGCTTTTCTTTTTTTAAAAATTTTTTAAAAAAATTTTTTATTGGTTGTTCACAACATTACAAAGCTCTTGACATATCATATTTCATACATTAGATTGAAGTGGGTTATGAACTCCCAATTTTACCCCAAATGCAGATTGCAGAATCACGTCGGTTACACATCCACAATTTTACATAATGCCCTATTAGTAACTGTTGTATTCTGCTACCTTTCCTATCCTCTACTATCCCCCCTCCCCTTCCCTCACATCTTCTCTCTCTACCCCATCTACTGTAATTCATTTCTCTCCTTGTTTATTTTCCCATTCCCCTCACAACCTCTTATATGTAATTTTGTATAGCAATGAGGGTCTCCATTTATTTCCATGCAATTTCCCTTTTCTCTCCCTTTACCTCCCATCTCATGTCTCTGTTTAATGTTAATCTTTTCTTCCTGCTCTTCCTCCCTGCTCTGTTCATAGTTGCTCTCATTATATCAAAGAAGACATTTGGTATTTGTTTTTTAGGGATTGGCTAGGTTCACTAAGCATAATCTGCTCTAGTGCCATCCATTTCCCTGCAAATTCTATGATTTTGTCATTTTTTATTGCTGCATAGTACTCCATTGTGTATAGATGCCACATCTTTTTTTTATCCATTCATCTATTGAAGGGCATCTGGGTTGGTTCTACAGTCTAGCTATTGTGAATTGTGCTGCTATGTGTTATTTGCTTTTCTTGATCTTATTCTCATTTCTATAATGGCTGACTCAATGTTTTTGTGTTCATTGAACAAGCTCACTTTAAATTAGTAGTTTTAATTTTCACAGTCTTAAGTTCCAACTACTGACTCCATCAAATGGTGATAATCACAGAGGTCTTGCCTCTTTGGTAGAGATTACAAAGACAGAAGGAGAGAAAGATATAAAAATTTTAAGAAAGCAAATTTAAGTAGAAATGTCAAGTTAAACACCAGTGCAAAAGCAGTGATCATATATAATGGTACTAATGATTACTGTTTGTTGATGCTTACTACAAAAATAGGGCTCATGTTATACATACATTACTGAAGGCCTCTGTAGAATAAGTGGTATTAATCTCAGTTTTCAGATGAGGAAACAGGATCAGCAAGATGCATTAACAATGGTCCTGTGATTGGCATGTTGTGGAGCCCCAACTCAAATCCAGTTTCCTTGGCTTGCTCCAGTACCCACACCCTTAGGCACTGTACTCCTTGTAGCAGGATAAGCCACTGTGCCCACCAGGATTCAGGATGGCTGCAGGATTGAGCTTCCAGGATCCCCCAAGAGCCATTGCAATCCTTCCAAAATCCTCATCATCAAACTTCATCTCAATGTTCTAATCCCTCTTATTTCATCTCTTTTCCACAGAAATGAATATTCTGCACCAAGGCTAGCAAAGTCAGAAAAAATTACAGGGGAGGAATGGACTACCTAATTAAAATATTATATCATGTATAGTCTTGGGAAAATTTCTGAAATTATTTTCATTTTGTACTAGGCATAAAAAAAATAGAAAGAAGCAACAGGGAAGACTTTGTCATGTATGAAGCATTTCAACAATTCCGATCTTTTCCTCCTTATTGAAATAAAGCTTTTAATGACCCCCCACAGCCATAAAGATGGGTTCACATGGTGCAAAACCCCAGAAACCAGATAAATATCACGGTTCCCAAGCCCGGATTTTGCAAAGAGGGGCAACTAGGCTATTCCAGGAAAGCGGATATTAGAACCACAGCTGGCATGTTCAAATTACAATGTCATGCTATTATTCTCTATTTCCTTTTATGGTAGTGAGAAGGCAGAGTACAGATGTGAACACCCCATGGCTCAAAATCGATGTTTCAGAAAGAACTCTTTGGAATTTGTCTCTTTGAGCAAACAATATTATTTTGGAGGGAGTTTTTTCTTAGATTTTGCACTTACACTGTCTTTACTTGATAGGTTAAAGACCTCTTCCATCAAAAATGCCATTCTGAGAAGGGTAGGTACTGGGGTTCTGTGTCCCAGACAGACTCCCTAGAAGGCAAAAGACTTTAGCACTCTCTGGGGATGGGTGGTGCCAAGCCAACCTGAGAATTGGGGACAGAATCCTCAGGCTTCATTTAGATCCTTGTCTACTACTTTGGGTCAAGTCCTGAAGATCAAGACTAGCTCCGCCCACTGTCAGCAAAGGGAAAGTCCAGGCCATTGTGGTCAATTCAAATTCTGTAAGACAAACCCCATTTGAATGCATTCTTTGATGCATCAAACATTTATTAAGCACTTGTAATGTGCCAGGCAGCTTCCTTTCCACGATTTTAATTGCAACTCTAGAAATTTATGTAAAAATCAAGTATTCATACTGCTTGCCCAGAATGTTTCCAGAAATTTCTTCTAAAGACATGTCAGAGATGTTCCTGAATATTTATTACCAGGATCAAGGCATTACTTATTTTTAAATATCACATTCACTAAGTTACCAAGTTGCTTGATTGCTACTGCATCAATCAAATAATTGATTAGTTGACTATATTGTTAACCTTTAATGAACGCAAGGGTTTTGTTGATACTAGAAAATTTGTAATTTCTGGACACTCTTTTTGAGAATTGGCGCCATAGTTAGCATTCTCCATAGAGAAGAAAATAGTTTTTACTCTTGGGAATTATTTTATGTATTTATTTATTTCTCATATACTTCTTTCTTGACCGTAAACATCTCTGAGATGTTTCCAAATTTTAAAATACAGACCACTCTTCATTAAGAAACACAGCTCCAGCATAAATAAAACAAAGGACAATTTTGTTTCAATATTGATGTAGTTCTGATTTTATTTTGCCAATTTGGCAAAGAGAGTAAATTTTTCTTACAACAGATTCTGGTACAGAGAGATCTCTTTATCACATTTAAGATTTCTTCATATTTAATCTCCAAGAATTCTAAGGCAAGATAAAATGGAGAAGGGGAATGGAATATGGTCTTAACTGTTTTTGCTCTTTTCATTGTTCTAGGGGAAAACACTGTTGTGAAACTCACACTCCAGTTTCATTATCTTAGTTGAAATTATAATCGCTGTAGATAATTTTCCATAAATTCAGTTCTTCTTTAGACAGCCAATTTTCACATAAAAAAAAAACTAGAACATTTCTTTATGAAAAGAGATCCATAAAGATCCTTTAAGGATCAATTTTCAAATATTAAAATCTGGGATTGATGTTATTTGGATTCAGAACAGACGGGATTCCTGATGCAAAGGCTGGTCCTTGACTTAGAGCTACTGGTCTTTGAGTCCCCTGTCTACAAACAAGCATCCTAAGCTTTTTCTTTGTTTATGAACTCTGCTTCTCTGCTTGATTATCTGACATCCTCAACCCCTTGCTGCTGGAGATTTGCAAACTCACTCACTTCTCTCCACCACTCTGGTGGCAGGAGTACACTTGATTTTTATTTTAGGAAAAAATTATTTATTTGCTCCCAATTTGAGAGAACTGATATGCATATGCACCCATTTACATGCACACATGGAGATGCACAGATGTATACAGAGCCCAGGGAAGCAGGCCTCTTCTCCCCACATCTAGAACACCACCAGAAGGAGCTGTTTTATGGGCTCTCTGACTTGAAATTCAGAATTTATACTGATGGAGAAAAGAATGTAATGAATGATGAGTTCTTTAAAATTATTTGAGGCCAACATTGTTTTGAGACATATTTGATCACTTTAGCGAATGGGTTATGATGTTAAACAGGAGAACTACATTTCTCCACATCAAGACAAACAATAATGGAACCCAGGTACTAACAACATGACAAACATCAGTCTTGTCCTACATAAGAATATGCCCCAAGATAGAGAAGCTTATATGTGTATCTGTAGGATATAGATTTTATAGTACTTTTTTAAAAAGCTCAGTTTTTTGCTGTAGGATACGCTGGAAACCTTAAGCTTCTCATAACGGGTGAATGAGAAATACACAGTTGCTGTAGCTCACATCCCCTTCAATTCAAGCTCCATCTCAACTGGGTGACTCAGCCAGGTGGGTTGGCTATCTGGCCTTCATTCTCTGCAACCTGAAATGAAAACAAAATGAAAATAGGCATGGCAGGATTGGGGTGGTAAATGGCATAAAACCAAAAGATTTATTTATAAACACAGATTCATCTCACTCTGATTCTTAGGTGATTTTATGACAAATGGTAACATGATTTAAGTAAAAAGAGACTTAATAACGTATGTATTTATTTTCTTCATCTTATTTGTTGTTTTCATGAATTCTGTCCTTAGCAGCCCTCCAGATTGGGGCATTTAGCAATCTTAGAATGTAAAATCTTTCTCATAGCATGTAGAACTGCAGGTTTGTTGGTTGGCTGGTCCTCTTCCTGTACTTAGTGACATCCTTCTACAGTTAAAACCACAATCAGGCTTCCAGAAAGCAAAAGAACAAGAAGTCAGGAGAGAGATGAAGACAACCCCCATATAGCAATGACTAAAGTTAATGAAAATAGGTAGAATGTTTTTGTTGGCAATAAAGCTTAACTCCTAAATGATACACGTTCAAACAGCTGGGAACAGAATTTCCATTATATATTTAAAAAAATACATAAAACAAAGCAGGCAGGGAAATATATTCAAGGACATTTATCATGACATTGCTTATAACAGCACAAAATATGAAAGGGCCCTTCATACCCAATAATTGGGATAATGTATTATGTTCATACATTGGAAAGTTGCATACCACTAGAATTGTTTCAGGAGTAATATCTATTAAGGTGGAGTGGAAAGCCATTCATGTTTACTAAAAAGAAAACTAGAAAATAACATGAAAAAGTAATTCTGATTCCTGGAACTAAGCATGTGTTTTAATAGACATAGCAGTGGTCTTTGGGTATGGGTTTATTGGGGTGTGTGTGTGTGTGTGTGTGTGTGTGTGTGTGTGTGCGCGCGCGTGCACACCGCACTTTTCTCTTGTTTTTATAGATTCTTCAAGAAGAGAACAAATAATTTTAAAAACCGCTATCCGAAAGACTGCATTAGTTTTCTATCAGTGCTATAACAACTTAACACTAATTTAGTGGTTCAAAGCAACACAGACTTACTTACAGTTCTGGATGTCTGGAACGCAGGGATTGGTAGAGCTGTATTCCTCCTCAGTTGGGGAATTTCCTTCCTCTCCTTCTTCAGCTTCTAGATGTCACTTGCACAGGAGGATCACGCCCCTGCCTCCATCTCACACCAGCAATACCGCATTTCTCGGACGGTTCTTCTACCTTCACATCTTTCCCTTGACGTAGTTGTAGAAAGTTCCCTGATTTTTAGAACTTATGTGATTACCTGGGGCTGACCTGGATAATCCAGCCCCATCTCCCATTTTGAGGTCCTTAATCACTTGTGTAGTTTCCAGGGATGAGAAAATGTACCTTTGGGGGGGATTTTCATTTTGACTATCAAACAGACAAGGCCTTTTAATAAAGGAGTTGGTTTGTTTATTTATTTTGTGGTTCTGGGGATTAAATCCAGTACCTTACAATAGGCCAATGCTCAACCACTGAGTTACCTCCCATTCCCAACTTTTTATTGTATTATTGATAGTTGGGTTTCATTCTACCATATTATTTTATAATTTCTACTTCTCATGCTTTTGAGTTTTTATTGTTTTTGATTGGATTGATTCTTGTTTCTACTCAATCTGTTCTATTAACTTAGTAGTTACACTTATTTTTTAAAAATTTATACTTATTTTTTTCTCTAAAGATCTAACATTAATTTCTCTCTCCTCTTCAACAAGAGCATAGGATACTTTAACTTTCCTCTAAGTTTCACTCTACCATCTCTTGGTTATTATTTTGTTAAATTTAATAATATTGTGCTTTTTATACACAAATAGTTGTCATCATCTTAATCATTTATTACTCAGGCAATGATAACATAGACTGGACCATCCTTTTCTTGTCTGTATTGTTCACTATTGGTTTGAATTCATATCTTTTTTTTTTCTCATGAGTCTTTATTTTTTTATTGAAGAACATGCTTTATTACTTTTATTCCGTGAGGATCCATGGGTAGTAATCTACCTTATCCCTGGGATGTCTGAAAATATATTTATTTCTCCATAGAATTCCAGTTATTTATAGGTTTCCAGTTATCTTCTCTTAGCATCTAGAAGATCTTCTTCTGGCTGGTACATCCTTTTTGCTGCTAAGAAATTCATAGCTAAAATCATCTTACTGTTTTTATCTTTTTTTGGTAGAATGTTGCAATTTTTTGATGATATGCCTCTTTTTATAATATATTCTAAATTATAATCTTTATCCTCATACACTATATTTTCACATTGATGGACAACAATATAGATTTTTATTTTTATAAGTGCTCAGTAAGTGATAAGTGTTTTCTACTTGAGGGATCCTGAGTTTTTTTCAATGCTGAGAATTTTTGACTTTTTGTCAGTTTAAATATTGCCTCCTTTCCCATTTTTCTAGTTTCCCTCAATTAAAAGTTTGTCAGTCTTGGGCATCCTTTAACATTTGCGTTATCATCCAGCGGGTCATGACCTGTGTTCTAGGTTCTAGCCCCAGGTGTGTGCAGCTGTCTTCTTCACAAACCTGGAAGTTTTAGGATAAATAATTCTACCTTTTAAGGTCAATGATTCTTTATCATTCTTGCTACTGTTCAGTGGATGTGCTTTCTCCTGAATATTAGATGTCCTTATGAAGACCATTTTTATATTGCTCATTTGCTTCTTTTCTCCACTTATAATGTTTTTATTTATTTGTTGATCCTTGTCCTTGGCTGTGAACCACTCTCTGTATTGCCTTCCTGGTGGGGGACCACTTGTGTGAATACTTCCCCCCACACCAGCAAGTCTCCTTCTCAGATACCTACCTGGGAACATAGCCCTGATTCAGGCCTGGGAACATGGCTGTTCAGAGCCAGCACAGAAATGGTGAAGATTCAAACCCACATCCATTAATAAATACCTCTGTTTCCATCTTCCTCTAGGCATCCATGTGTATGGCCACAACCTCAGGAAGCTGGGCAAAGATATTTTAGTGCTGTCATGGGCACAGTTCAAGTTCGTAACCAACTTTTATCCTGCAGAAGGAAGCTCAGTTCCATTTCCTTGCCAGGTCTGGGAAATCTACAAAGGAGTCAAAACTAACTCAATCCTGAGCACAAAACTATGGTACCAGGTTTCTGTGAGCCACAAGCCAGGTAACATGAGTCTTGTTTTTCATCCACAGACATTGTCCTTTTGTTTATTAATGTAGCTACATCTTTCTAAGTATTATCTACTACTTGTGCGAAGATTTTACATACATATTGGATATAATAACTCTAAAAGAGGTGTAAAAAAGGTTAAAGTATTTTAAATTATGCTAAGTAGAGATAAAGTACAAAAGCAACATAAGAATGATAACAATAGTGAAAGTTAACATTAAAGAAAGGATTATACAGATTTAATGCAATTCCTATTAAAACTCCAATAACATTCTTCATAGAAATAGAAAAGGTAATCAGGAAATTCACTTTGAAAATAAGAGACCCAGAATAGCCAAAGCAATTCTTAGCAAGAAAAGTGAAGCAGGAAGCATCACAATATGAGACTTTAAACTATACTACAAAACTATAGTAACAAAACAACATAGTACTGGTACCAAAACAGACATATAGACCAATGGTACAGAATAGAAGACACAGAGACAAATCCACACAAATACAGTTATGTCATACTAGACAAAGACACCACAAACATTCACTGGAGAAAAGATAATCGATTCAACAAATGGTTCTGGGAAAAAATGGAAAGCCACAAGTAAAAAAAAAAAATGAAATTAAATCACCCTGCATGAAACTCAACTCAAAGTGGATCAAAGACTTAGGCACCAGAACAGGGACACTGTACCTACTAGAAGAAAAAGTAGACCCAAATTTCACCACATCAGCCTAGAATCTAACTTCCTTAAAAGACTCCTAAAGTGCAAGAAATAAAAATCATAAATCAATAAATGGATGGGATGTACTCAAACTAAAAAGCTTCTTCTCACCAAAACAAAACAAAACAAAAAGTGGAGAGCTTACAGATTGGGAGAAAATCTTTACCATCTTTACCACATGCACCTCAGAGCAAGCATTAATCTCTAGGATATATAAAAATCTCAAAAAAATTTAACACCAAAAAAAAAGCAAATAACTCAATCAATAAATAAGTTAAGGAACTGAACAGACACTTCATAGAAGAAGAAATACAATCTATCAATAAATATTTGGAAAAAAATGTTCAACATCTCTAGCAATTAAAGAAATGCAAATAAAAACTACTCTAAGATTTTGTCTCAGTTCAGTCAGAATGGCAATCATCAAGAATACAGGCAACAATAAATGTTTGAGAATGTGAGGAGAAAGGAACACTCAGACATTGCTGGTGGAACTGAAAATTGGTGCAACCACTATGCATAGCAGTATGGAGATTTCTCAAAAAACTCAGAATGGATCCACCATTTGACTCAGTTATTCCACTCCTCAGTTTATACCCAAAGGACTTAAAATCAGCTTACTACAGTAATGCAGCCACATCAGTGTTTATAACAGCTTGATTCATAATAGCTATGCTATGGAAGCAACATAGTTGTCCTTCAAAAGATGAATGAATAAAGAAAATGTAGTATATGTCTATTCAATTAAATATTACTCACTTTAAAGAAGAATGAAATTATGGCATTTCCTGGTAAATGGATGGAGTTGCAGACTATCATGCTAAGCAAAATAAGCCAATCCCTCAAAACCAAAGGCTGAATGTTTTCTGTGATATGTGGATGAATGCTAATTCAAAACAAAGCAGGGTAGTTGGGGTGGGAACACTAAGAAAGAATAGAGTTAATTTTATATCAGGGAAAAGAAAGTGGAGGGAGGGGAGAGAGTATAGGAATAGGAAAGAGAGTAGAGTGAAACAGACATGGGATTTTACAACATGTACAATCAGAAAAACGAGAAATCATACCCCATTTATGTATAATATATAAAAATGCATAAATGTATTCTACTGTCATATATAACTAATTAAAACAAAATTTTAAAAAATGAAAAATAAGAAATTATTGCACTAAGCCATCTTGAAAAATGAATTCATTTAATTCTTATGATGATCCCATGAACTATGTGTTACTATTATTTTCCTTTAACAAGTGAGAAAACAGAGGTGTAAGTAGTTGAAGTAACATGCTTGGGATTGGTTACATGGTAATAGGGTGAAGGAGTTGTCTCCCCCCTTCTTCATGATTTCATCTCCCACTTCTCATAAGTGCAAGGGGGTAGAGAACACTACCCTTAAAGCTGTTCACTCTGATTGACAGACACACAGGTTTCTACATTATCCACAGTGAATCTGTACGACATTTGCAATAATAAAAAATAGTAAGATGATTATTTTAATATGGCTTTAAAATGAAAATGATGCCTTCTTTATCCAGTGGCACTTTCATTGTTAGATAACAACAGTTAGCAAGTCCAGATTGCTTGCAAGATGGGTAGGAATACTGGGTATGGGGAAAATCTAATTTCCCCAAGATAAGAAGTGAGCTGCCTAAATCAGGGACCCAGTTGACCTTCCTTTCCTCCTGTCTAGAGCTGGCCCCTCACCAGGCTCCACATGGTCTGGGAACCCCCTTAGGCCTTCTCACCTACTTTGTTGCACCATGCATGGTTAAATTTTCATATTTCTGAGTGTTTATTTCTATGGCAATGGATGCTGTGTCAAAAAGGGACCTTGTGTTCTCAGATGAGACATATCTTCAATTCTTGTGATATTTCTACTCAATAAAATCCACATAAAATAACATAGTCTCATGTTTACCGTGAGATAAGAAAAAAGGTAGAAGTTGTGTATATTCAAAATATGTGAAAAAATTTAAAAAAAAACATAAATGAAAACATACTTAAGAAAAATGAAGGCTAAGAAAATGAGAAGTTCTTTGAAAGTGGGTGTCAAAGACAATAAATCTACCAAGGAATCTGAGTGTTGGCTATCAACACAGGTGGGAACAAATACACAGCACTCCCCTCTCCCCTCCCTGTCACACCCACAGAGCCTTGAACCTGGACAGGGTGGAAAAAATTCTAGGCCCTGCGCCATGAGTTTAGAATTAAGCATTGAACAAAATCTTATCTTGGATTCATTGTGGTCACTATAACTGTGATACAGAGTGTGTGTGTATTATTTATGAGCCATTTTATATGCCTAACACTCTATGACCTACGTACCTAGAATGATAAATCATAAATTACACTTAAATGGTCTAATTTAACATTTTGTATCCTCAGCCAGTAATCTCTTCCTTTGTGCTCCATATCTTCTTTTGCCAGATTTTTAGCAAAAATTTCAAATCAGAAGTTAAACCTGCTGCACTTCCAAAATTAGCCAAGCAGTACATTAGCATCAGAAATAAAAGTAACTCCAAAGTAATTGTGCATAGGCCTTTCTTCTTTTAAGCACTATTCATCTGAAAAGAAGCAAGCACATATTTCTCCAAACTTAAAAAGAAGATAAAATTTACCCATTCTTTTCTGATTCTTTTTAAAAATTAGTCTCTCCTTTTTGAAAACATGTGAGATTTCAATGTCATGATCTTCATTTACATCAAACAGACACAAAGGTGCATTTGAAGTAGGAATTTGAGGAAGAAGAAACATTTCTGTTAAGGTGGGGCAGGAGGAGAAAAGGAGAAAAAAAATAATAAGCTTACATGAGTCATAAATTAATAAATCACAACATTAGTAACTCTCAACATATGATGAACTCTGATTATTCATGCACATGTGGACTGCCAGCAAGACACCGTTAAAAATATTTCAAATCATCTTCTCTAAGAAGTTCCTATTCTGATTTTCAAAGGAGCCTTCCAATGTGTCAGGTTTATCTAAGGCAACTCGGAAGTTGATTTTTATGTTGCTATAAATGATTTTTACAGTTGTCATAAACTCAGAAACATAGTAAGCTAGACACTATAACTGCAAGGGTTCTAATTAAGGTGTTCCACAGAGCAATTTTAAATAAATGACAGTTCTCATATCATTACTTTTTTCCTTTGATTTTTCTCTAAGGAAGAAAAAGGGGTTCGTAAGACAAGGCATTAATATATATTTTCAAGTAGCAAGCGAAAAAGATAGGCTTAGATGGATTTGACATATGCAGAATAAATTAATTCAGAGACAATTAAAAGGAATGTCAACATTCCTTTAAAAAAATACTTTTAAAAATCATGTGTGGAGAAAATGCAAAGTGAGCAGATAGAGACTTTTGAGTCTCTTTTCCAGTAGCAATAATTTTTTGGCATCAATAGTAGAACTTTGCTAGATCATCATTTGCAATAATAAATGGAGAGTCCATCTTGGACTACAGAAAGCATTTGATATTCTAAAGCATAAGATGGACTTAATTTTTTTTTAAAAAAAGAAGTGTATAGCAAGCCTTGTAAAGACCTGGAATCCAAGGATATCAGCATTATGAATGTCTCCAGAAATGAGGTGTTTTTCTCCCTTCATAGTGTCCCAATAGGTGACTGATTAAGGATCACATCAATAATTCAGTGATTTGGATTTTTAAAGAGCTCAATTCTTTAAAAAATGCACAAGTGCAAGTGTGTACTCGCACACACACACAGACCCCCCCCCCACACACAGACACATTAATTCAAATAAATTGGCTTTTTCCCTGTGCTGACAAATGGATCCCTGTTAGGCTATTTGGAGCAGCACCAATCAAGTGCAGCCTAACTCCTTGTGTTAACTCTACTGGGGACAAAGACTCCTGTGACACTTTGGACTGAACAAACATTAGAATAAGGAACTAAGAGGACCCAAGAGTATGAAGACCCCTGGAGCTCTGCTTGGGAGCCTGCTTCTTCCAGTCCAGTAAGATGCCTCATGAGGGTCTGACAGTGGGCAACTGCTGTGACCTTGCTGGTTAGAGCACTCTGGGTGGCTTTTCATGGATACAGTCCTACCAGCTCCTTCCTGGCACCCAGCCTGTTCTCTGTTGTTTAAGTCTGTGGCTGGATGTGGCTTCTCTGCTGTTAGGCTCTATGTGAACAGTTCTGTTCAGTGACATTCTGCAGAGTCAAATGACCAAATATGATCATTAGCCCAGAGACCTTAGAAGGAAAGAAAATACATTTACACATGGTACTGGATTCTAATAAAATGCAAGCTAGTTTCTTGGTTTAATTTCTCCCTCTAGGAAGATGAACATCTTACAATATATTTAATGATGTGACTTCACCCTCTCTCTTTTTTTTTTTTTTTGAAGACAGATATGACCAGTGGCATCCAATCTTCATTTCATAAAATGAGTAAGTTCCTACACTTGTAGAAGGAATGCATGTGATAAAAATAGTCATTGTCCCGGGAACAAGAAAAATAAAGTTCTTTTCACAAGGCTTTCGCTATTACTTTTCTGCATGACCTCAGGCCATTCACAGAATTCCCAAGTCTGAATTCTCTTGTTGATAAAATTACATGGATTGGATTCAATGATGACGATTTTTTTTCTTTTTTTTTTTTTTCCACCACAACATTTCTTGGTTCCACTGTAATCTTAAGCTTATCTGCTGAGGACTAGCCCACTAGAAGCTGGAGTTTCTTAAAACAGGTGAGAAGGCTACAACTTGGTGGAGTTCACCATTTAACTAGAGAGAAGAGATAGGGCAGGGTCAGTCATGGGCAGTGCAAAACAGAGATAGGGCAGGGTCAGTCAAGGGCAGTCAGGTACTGGCCACATAGCAGGGAGAGAGACGCACCTGAGACCAGGTGGGGACTGCAGGGTGGGCATGGCAGGGAGGGCTGGCAGTGAGAGGATCATGGGAGAATCAGGTATGAGGTGAAAAACCCATGGCTTCCGGTCGGAGGAAAATGATGTGCTTCATTGAAGCCCCATGGTCCCTTTACTGCCATCCCATTGATCTCGGTATGGAGTGCCTGCTTCATTATCAATCACTGAAATTCAGTAACTTATCTCTGCAAGATGGAGCTACTAATAAAAGCCTTTGAACAGCTGTGAGGGGTGGGCCAGGGAAGGGGACTGCAGCACAAGAGGCTGACTGTGCTGCAGGTAAGGCCTCCTTGTGCTCACTCAGTTATGCAATCACCGCAGAATACAGACCAGCAACGTGCACATCCGTGAACTTGGTGCTGGGAGGAGGTGGGAGACCTTGAAGGGCAATAAGTCTATTTTAAATGAGTGCTCACATGTCAGCTACTTCTTTCAAATGCAGGTTATTTGGTCAACAATAGAAGGTCGACTTCTAATGTGCTAAAGAAGATTCTAGAAGACAAAAAAGTAGTCCAGGCTAGGAAAGTGGACTTTGAGTTTGGGTGGGGGTTGGTTATCAGCCAGGTACTTATCTTCCAGTGTTGGGTTTCCATGACTCCTAAGTTGACTGTGGGCTCCCCCAGCCTTGGTCTCCCTTTCCCTCCTCATCAGCACATAACTGGACACTCCTGAAAGTTTTTTACTTTGTCTTGCTCATCCTCAGGCCTCTGTGTAAGGTGTCACTTCTCTCCATGTTTGTCCTCTGTCCCTGACTTTCCTTTGACTTTTCCCAGTCCAGAGAGGTCATTGTCAAGTTCCTTCTGAAGAGTGGATTCTCCTGAATGATTTTATGAACTTCTTATGGTCATTTTTCTTGTCTTTTTTTCCTGTCTCATTCAGAAATAGCATTTTTTTTGAAAAAAAAAAAGAAAGATAAAATTCAGTTTCCTTATCTCATTCTTAGTATTTTTTTTTCCCAAATGATAATCGAATAATTGTTACAAAGAGAGGACTTTCCTAGAGCCAGAAATTGCAAAAAAAAAAAAAAAAAGAAAAGAAAAAAGTATTTTAAAAACCAGACTTTATCTTTTGGAAACATAAAATTTTACAAGATAGATAGTTTAAAGAAACAAGTCTTGGTAAACTTTGTGTAGCAAATATCTTTGAATGATTCCCTTGAAAGAGGGTCAACTTTCTCTGACAATGGGTAAGTCATCTTTATTTTGGGTGTTTTGTGTAGCAGAAAATTCTAGCTGACCTATATTTTCTCTATCAAACCCAATTTTTAACTGAGAAAGATTTTTCATTATTGAAGAACTTAAGATCGTGTCTTTGAAGTGCAGAAGTCAATTAAGAAAGGGAAGTTCCAAAATTGTTTTCAATAATGGCTATCTTTAGGATAAATATGTAGCCTTCTGAGTGGCTTTTGAAGAAAATAATATATGTATACATCATTGTAAATTAGGAGAAAAGAAAGGGATAAAGGAGAAAGAGAGGGAAAGAGATGAAGGAAGTTAAATGTCAAAGTTTGGCAGTAGAAATACAATGATCTTTTAAGCAAAAAAAATATTTCGGCTTTCATCTATCTTTGAAATGCTTTTTAAATCTGGTAATATAGCTTTATGTTTTGGTTTAGAAAACAGGGATTTTGTTTTAATCCTCAGCCAAATTATTTATTGAGCTATCTCAGAGTGGTTGATAAGAACAACTACAATTTCAGATTGGGACCTTGAGGATGATTTCAAGTCATTTGAGGCCCTTTGGGCAACATCCTTGAATACAAGGTGGAAACAGACCTCTGCACTGAAACAGCTTTTGGAAATCTAGAGAGACTTTGAGGGGTGAAAGTGACATGGGGCAACATTCTCTTCTCTTTGGAGCATTCTGGCAACAGATACATGTACCTGAATATTGAATTCACACTCACAAACAGATGAACTCCTGTGGGTAGACAAGTCTTCCCACCAAGAGTCTGGCCTTCCACAGCCCAACACCGGACCCCACAGGTCAGGAGCCACGTGGCCAACACAACCCACGCACTGTGGAAATGCAGCTGATACTTGCTTCAGTGAAGAGGGAAAGGACTAGCAGATGGGATTTTGAGCCAACAGTGTATTTAGAAACATATGAAATAAGTAATAATGGGAACTAATTGGTGAACACGTGCTGGTGGGTAGAGTGCAGACATTAAGAAGAAAATTCTGGTGGGGGTCCATGCAGTCCAGAGACGATGAAAGCCAGATGAAGGAAAAGAAACTGGGTATGGCCTTTAAAGATTAGCCGGGATTTGGGTGAATTGAGGGACGAAGAAAACAAGAAAAACAGGTTGAGCAGCCCTGAGGACTGGGGAGCTGGGTCCAGGGTTCACAGGGCGTCAGCTGGAGACAAGGCGCTTAACAGAGACACCATTGTGAAGGGCTCGGTGACTCAACCAAGGAATTTGGAACTTTTATATGAGGATGGGAAAACTCTCAGAAAACATTCTCTAAAATTCAGTGGGGGGGGAGGTGGTGGTGGTGACTATTTTCTAATTACTTGGCAACTCTTGTTCATTTGTAATCTGGAGAAATCTGATGGAAGCTGCTTAAAAGAAAACTAATCTGATCCTGCATGAAGAATGTGTGTGAGGAGAGAAGGCAGACGTGTTGAGACTGATTGGCAGACCAGACGTGGGCCCAGGAGTTCTGAGCAACCGTGCAACTGGCAGGCAAGGACCAGGGGGGAGCATTTAGGAAGAGGAGACTTTAGGACAGGGAGGGTAAATAGCTGCAAGAGATAAAGGAGACACTGAGTTTCAGACTCAGGAATAACTTATTTTGAATGGAAAGGGATCAGAAAGAATCGTCCAGTAACATTTTTAATTTTCTTCTGTAATTTAGCCCAGTCGTGCCCAATAAAAATATGATGTGAACCACATGTGGAATTTTACATTTTTTCTAGTCGCCATTTGTCATGGCTCAATATGACTTAGCCCCACAAAAACTCATGATGAGGCTTGGTCCCCATTGTAATGGTGCTGAGAGACAGCAGAGTCTTTGAGAGGTACTTTGAGTTATGAGAGTGGATCCCTCCTTATTTAAAAAGACGAGTGTTGTTCCTGCAAGAGTGTTAGGTACTGCAAGGGTGGGTTGTTATGCAAGAAGGGTGGCTTCTTCAGCTAGATCTCTTGCCTCCTCTACATCATGCAATCTCTTCTGCACACACCACTTGCCCTTCCACTATTCCACCATGTATGCAGCAGCATGAGGCTTTCATCATAAGTTGAGCAAGTACCCATGCCATACTCAGACTTCCAGAAATACTAGCTAAATAAACCTCTTTTCTTTATCAAGTATCCAGCTTCAGGTATTTTGTTATAGCAATGGAAAATAATTTATGACACCATTTTTAAAAATTAAAAGAAATAGAAGTCTTTTTGTTTTAATGACATTTTTAACCCTATAGATAAATATCATTTTAACAAGTAGTCAATATAAACAATTATTAATGAGATACTTTAAATTCCTTTTTCTTATAGTAGGTCGTTGAAACCTGACATGCATTTTATACTTATTGCCTATCTCATTTTCTCCAGACAGATTTCAAGAGATCAATAACTCCATATAGTGATGACAACTATATTGGAAATTGCACCTTTACACTTGATATCTATTGTGTCAGAAAGAGCTAATATCACCTAACTAGCATCCTCTTACATTAGCTATCTCAAAGATAAAATTGTTTAAGTGATGATTGTTTGTATGTATGTGTGTGTATAAGACTCATGGGTAAGCCTGTATGCGTGCATTGTGGATGTGATATACCTTTATGTGGGTATGTGTGTCTGTGGGGGGGTATGAGCTCACATGTATTTGCACAAACACTTCCCCTTTGTACTCTTGATTCATGAGAAGCCCTGAGAACAAGAGTTCTCCTAAAGCCTCTCCACAGCAGTCTTTCCGAGAATGCTACCCTATCATCTGCCAAATGTATTGCTGTCCTTTGCTTGTCAGAATCTTTTACTTATTTATTTATTTTGAGAAAAGAAGCATACATGAAAATTCTCATTTCATCATGTATTTTTAAAATATATATATTTTTTTAGGTTGTAGATGGACACAATAGCTTTATTTATTTTTATGTAGTGCTAAGGATTGAACCCAGTGCCTCGCACTTGGGAGGCAAGTGCTCCACCATTGAGCTACAGCCCCAACCTCACCATGTTTTTATTGGTGCATTATCACTGTACATAATGGTGAGATTTGTTGTTATAGATCCTTCCATGCACACAATAGAACAATACCATTAGGCCAGTGTCATTAAAGTGCCCATCTCTCCGCTCAGACAAATCATAAAGTGAAGTCCTGTATTCCAAATAAAGCCTGTAGACTGTAACTTGCAAATGATTTGGATGGCCCAATATCAAAAATAAAAAGGGAACTACATCAATCGTGACTTTGAGTGTTCAGGCAAAGCACGTACCCTGGACCCTCCACATCCCCTGACAATACTCAGCATCTCTGCGTGTTTCCATTCCTGGCCTGCCTCAGCAAGCATTTCTGCCATTTCTGCTCTAGGTATTCAGAATTTATGCCCATATAAAAGCCAAACTAAAAGAACACCTGGGCCACAGCACTTGGGTGCTCTGGTTGACTGACTTCATTGAATTATTTTCTGCCTTTGAACCATCAGCCTGGATTATCATTTCCACTCTTAGGATGTTGTTAGTGGCATTTAATACACTCTATCCTAGAGCCAAGGGAGAGATTTTTTTACTTTTGTCTTGATTCTAGAATAGCTGTGCTTCTTCAGAGTAAATAATCAGGAAATTGAGAATCATTTCCTCTTCTATTTACATCTTGCCAAGTCAGCCAGAGAGCTGACAGCCCAATTTTTTTTAACACTTCTATGTAATGCATTTTATAGGATATTAACGCAATTGTTTTCTGTTAAGTTCACCCTTTTCCAGACCTCATCTTTTTGAGACTGACTTTTCTCTATGAATATCCTTAGATATTTATATGTTGTGATGGTAATTTTATTTAAAGAATCTACCATCTTTCTATCTATCTATCATCTATCTCCCACATTCCCCCTTTTCTCTACCTATCCACATTTCCCTAGGGGAAGTACATCTCTCCTGCCCCAGTTATAGCTGGCACAGGTACCTTCCCTTTCTTAACTAACCTGGCTCTGAGCCACAGTTGGTGGGTCCAGAGTTGGGCACTAGATTTGGGCTGCACTTGTGAGTCTTTTTTCCACCATTTCTTTGGACTTGGGACTCAGACCAATAGCTCACCTAGAGAGGAAGTGAAATACTAACACTCTAATTATATTAAAAATTAACAGAGAGGTAATAGTAACAGTAGCACAAGAATCGTTGTGCAATGTCTACAATACAATGTGGCACGTCTAGTAAAACAAAGCATTTCTAATAACAAGGAAACAATGATGTCAATAGTTAACACTAGAAGAGTAACGTGGTGTTCACACCCAAGTGTCCTCAGGAGCATCACTTTGCATCAGTTAAAGAAACCATGCTAGAGAAAGAAGGTACCCAGGATCACTGGTTGGGTAAGAGTTGGAAAGAGGACCAAGTTTTGTCAGTTGGGGAGGTTCAGCTTGGTCTCTGCCTTTGTTGAAGGTGGGCTGTTCCATTTTGTTTTGGACTCTATGAGACACCCACTCTCTCTTCCAGTCTTCTTAATAATGTCAATGTTGGAAGGAGATGTCTCTGTCACTTAAAACTAATGGGTGATAGCTAGAACAGTATTGTGAAAAACAACTTAGAAAATATAGTGGGAAAAATAGATTTGCAAATGCAATTGTTTTGTAAAGTTTATTGAGAGCTCAGCAAGATAAGACCCCACATCTGTTATTGTTTTTCAACCAGTATGTGCTAAGGATGAATCATACCAACTGCAGAATTTGGTGGATGCAGTCAGTTCTGAAATATTAAGAATAGTGTATAAATGAGATGCACATTGTGACAGATTTATTCCCAGGGAGAAATCCCACTTCCAAGAACCATAGTTTATCTGGTACTATCTTGGCCCTCTTTTTATATGAATTATAGTCTAAGACCAGTACACAAGAAAAAATTGTGTGTATTGGTTCTTAAAAAGGCACAATATTGGAAAGACTTATGAGCAGTACCCAGTGACTCCGGTGTGGCCTGTTGTCCCTTGAACATTTGAGCAGACTTTATACTTTTACATAAATTGAACACCAGATCAAACAAATGGCTTTTATCTAGAAGATAATTGTTATGGTTTAGATCTTAAATGTCTCCCAAACCCAATGTGTTGAAGCCTTAGTCTCCCACTGATGACACTATTGGAGATGGTGGATCCTAAGATAATGGAGAAGGTAGGGCCTACCTGGAGGAAATAGTCAGTGTGGGTGTTCCTTGAGGTTATACTGGAACCCTGGCTTCTTCCTCTCTCAATTTTTGCTTTCTGGCTGCCATAAGTTGAACTTTGTTCTACCACGCGCTCTGTCCCACGATATTCTGCCTCACCATTGGCCCAAACACAATGACCCAAGTGATCATGGACTGACATCATGAGCCAAAATAAATAAGCTGATTTTCTCAGATATTTTGCCACAGCAATAAAAGCTAATGCAATAGACATCTTTAGACATTAAAAATAATAATCATAGAGAAATTCTACAACATGAGGAATAGGAAAACTGAAATAGATGGAATAGCTTACAGATATATATACATATATACTAAAAATGCTTCATGCTCATATTTATTCAGGACAAAAACTCACTGAATGAAATAATAAAGGTAATTTGCTAGAATGTCTAAACTGCATAAAATCATTCTCTGTCTCCTTCTCTTTCTCTCAGAAACTCGAACTTACATAAGTTGAATGACCACATCACACAATTCCATTATACCATTTTACTATAACATATTTACCACTGCACTTAATAATATTAAAACTTACATTCATTTTTCCATGTTTTCTTGGTATGATATCCTACTATGTCCATAGTACAGGCCATTAGTAAAATGTAGAAGTGAGCTTCCTGTCACAGTTTGGTGAAGTGTTCCCAATAGTCCTTTGTGGCATTGCGGCATCCACCAAGAGAAAAGGCCAAAGATGATAAAACAATAAATGACTATTGGTTAGAAAAGGAAATACTTGAACTTCAGAATAAAAATAGCTATAAAACTGTACTTCATTCTTATGAATTCTGTGATGTATTTGAGTTCTAATTTCCAATTATATTCCCATAGGCTTCTCTTTTATATATTTAATAAAATAAAAGATTTCTAAAGGAAATTTTCTGTATTCTTTCTCACCAGGTTTGTCTTTAATGAATAAGATACTTTTGTGATATCAGAGCTTCACAACATAGCAATCATTTTTGAGCAAAAACTTCAAAAGGGTAGCCAGAGACATTGTTTTTGTTTGCCTAATAGCAGATTTTTCACACTATCCAAATTGACCAGCTATCTGACTAATACCTTGACTACTTTCTGTTTTGGTGTCAATGGATGATATATTGGAAAACATTGGTAATATCTGGAGGTTAATTTTGTTTATGATTTTTTTCACCACATCTGATTCTAGCCTCATGATGAAGAAGAATAGATTTCATGACTTTGCTAGTATAGTCCAAGAAATATATTTTTCTTTAAATGTTCCTTTTATTATAGTATTGTACTCAGAATTACCTTTTCCCCAGTAGAACTATTGAAACAGTTAAAAACAATTACTGGAGAATAATAGTTATAGGGTTAGCATCTAGAATGGTCTTACTTCTCTCTTCATATTTTAGTAATTTGTTTTTTTTTTCTGAGTCAAAATAAATATTCTCTATATTTTCTAGCTCAAGAATAGCAGATATTCTTACAAATATTTGGCCTTTAATAATTGGTTTTAAATAACTTTTTTAAATATTAGAGATTAAACCTTTTATGTTTTATTTTGAGACAGGGTTTAGCTAAGTTGTGAAGGCCTCAAACTTGTGATCCTCCACACATTATATGCTTTATAAAATTTTCCTAAGTTTTGCAATAAATACTAGTTATACACTTTAAATTTCAAAAATATGTATTGAACATTCACCAGATATTGAATCTCCTCTTGGAGCCAGAACTCTCAAGTTCATAGTTAGGCACATATTTCCTATGTATGTCCAGAAAAAAATACATTTTAATAGTTGCATAGTTTTCTAGAAAATATATTTCCTACTAGATATAAGCTTTGTGAGTTCAAACCCACTTTAGACTTAACCCAGTTTTTATCATTCAATAGATATTAACTAGTACTTTAAGAATAAATGACTGATTTTTTAATCTGAGCTCTTTTTTCTTACTATGCATCCTAGAAGACCTAACCAACTATGGAATTGGAGTTGTACATAGAATATACTTTGGAATCAAGCCCCTTCAAATTTCTTTCATTATGAATCCTGTCTTTTTTTAAAAAAATTTAGTTGTCAATCGATTTTTTACTTTATTTATTTATTACTATGTGGTGCTGAGGATGGAACTCAGGGCCTCACACATGCCAGGCAAGCGCTGTATCACTGAGCCACAACCCCAGCCCCCTGTTTTATTCTTAGTGTATTTTTTGTTTTCCTAAAATTCAGATGGAAATGTGATAGTATAAGATACAAATGATTATAGCCCACTTAATTATTAGAAATTAAATTCTATTTAGGTATCAAGATCTAGGTGAATAAAAATAATAGAGACACTCATAAATTATTCCAATATTAATTGAGAAGTGATGATACATTGTGTCAATGTGCACTTTTTAAAGTTGTAGACTTTAGATATTGTTTGGAGCATCTGTCTGTTATGTGTTGGCTCCTCTACTTGTGGAAAATAATTGACAGTCTCAAAAATATATGAAAAACTACTTGTGGGGTTTTTCCCAAAATATTTGATTAATATTATTTAAAATAATTGTTCACTACATTTCAGTTTAAGTAGCTGTAAAGTTTTACAATTCATAAAGTTCTCTCTAATTTAGTTCTTCATGCTTTCTCAAAACCTTGGAGGAAAGACAGGAATTAGTGCTGCATTTGCAAGAGGTTGAGAGACATGAAAGGCTTTGTGAGAAGTGAGTCAATCAGACTCAACCCCAGTCTCCTCATCTGTATGCTCAGACACTCTTCAGAGAGCAGCCTCCCAAATCAGCAGGTGACCCATGTATTCAGAGAAAGAAAGCCAAAGACAACCAGGTCAGAGTCTGTATTCACATAACTGCAATTTTTGCCTTAGCTTCATTTCGAGTCCTGGAAAATGGCTGGAAAGATAGAACTGTGTTCTTGGAACCATAAAGTATTCTCCATCTGGGACGTTAGAGATCATGACTCAGAATACCCAGGATGGTTGTCTTAACTGACAGACCAGATACTAGTGCATGGCAAGCTACAGAGGGCACTCACAACAAATCTCTAAAAAGGACTCAGATGAAGTTGCAATCTCTAGTCAAAATGTATAGTTCCAGAGGAATAATTGGTTGCTAACAGGACCACATTCCTAAAGGACTACAGTAAAACCTTTAACTGCAGGTTGATGAATCTCAGTTTCATCCATGAAAAACTATAAAATGCCAACATAAAAGTTAGGATGATTGAGTGCCAAAAGGCAAAATGTTTTCTATAATGGAATATCTTGTATAACTAATTAAAAGCTTGGAGGTTTGTACATAAATATGCAATGCAAAGAAGGGATTTCATCTCTATAGAATTTGCTTTGATCCTCAAATAAAATCACTTTCCTTCCCATTCTCTGTAGCTCATATACATCCTACCTCATGGATGCTTAGTAAATATTTTCTTTCTAATGGAAGGTTTATGTTAAAATTTACATTTTAAAGTGCATCATCATGGACTGGAAGGGATGATGTGTCATACACTCAGTGCCAAGTGCAGCCTGTAGTGCATTTTAACACCCAGTGTGGGCCTATTGACTAAATGGCATGCAGAAACCAGAGGATGTTGAGAGAAAAGAGTCATTTCTCTTTGGTTAAACGATGAAGGAAAAAACTTTACTAGGAGCTCATCAGTGAATGACATTTTAAATATATTCAACAAATTATCTGCTGTTAAAGGAATTTCCTCATAGTTTAGATTCTGTCACCAACACTCTGTGTAAATTCAGTGAAGGACTTTAACCTCTTTGCACCTGAATGTTACCATGTGGAATATTAGCAACACTTATCTGTGGTTTGAAGCTGCTCTGAATGATCTAGAACATTCTACCAGCAGGAACTTGAATCCAGTCACCATGTTGCTACCATTTTATCAACAGGTGTCTGCTCTTCTTCATTTACACTGTTTTTCCACTCCTGGCCTGGAACCTCTGGTTTGGGAGCAGGGAATTCAGTTTTAGCTAAGAGGGTATTGCCTGTTGGTGTTTAAGTATATTTTACCATGTTTCACCCCTGAGCCTTGGGATGGATAGGAAAAGGCATGATCTGATAACAAGGTCACTTTTCATTAAGGGCATGATGATCATTCTGAGTATTCTTCCCCTGAATTTTATGAAAACATGGGCTATAAGTGAAAATTCAAGACTGATTTTATGAAACAAAATAGACTCTGTACACTGGATCATAGCAATTTTGATTTGTTACCCTTAAACATAATTATACTACAAACGGGGAAGCCTTATTCCCCCCAACTATTTTTCCAATAATCAACATTCATTTAGGCTTTGCCAGATCACTAATGTTTTTCAGAGAAACAATATTAATCAAATGGAGAAGACCCTTTGTGATCACAAATGTGATATCACTTAAGACTTTTAGAAAATATCTGGAGTATGAAATTCCTATGTGAGCATCTAAGAGCCTATAGAATCTGGGCCGTTAATTACTAAGGTTCATGAAAGGATCCTGAGGCCTAATAGCACCAACACTTCACATTAATGTGTATCTTCATTCCTCACATCAACTCTCCTAGTGACGTGTTTTTTGAAGACACTAGATGCTCCATAATTAAAAATTAAATAGTATACCTTCTACCTCTGCTCTGTGATTGTGAATGTATTCGCACCTTGATGGAAAGGACAAAAAATACCATGAACTAATACTAGCTCTTGGGAGCTAAAAGTGGTCCACATCTTTAGTGTGGGTAAGTGGAAGGAAGTTCTTGGACAAGGTTGTTCAAATGATGGCTTTCAAAGGATATGAGTCATGGGCTTGATCTGCTCACTGTCCAGAAATCATTCAAACGTGACCATAGGTCAGAAGAAAAGGTGAATAATTCTTAAAATGATCTAACCTAGCATTTAAAAATGCAAACAAAATATTTTTCTACTCTTGCACAAAACACATCGAGTCTGCACCTGGAATGCTATGTGTATGGGTTACTTCTACTCCTGATCAAAAAGTTGGGTAGTTGAGTAATGGCAACATAGAAATGACAGAGACCATGTCATGACTGGGTGCAAGGGATGTCTCCTGCACAAGCACTGACTGAAAATTTAGCCCTGTTTTGTCTGGAAGAACATGATGTCCGAGGTGAAGAAAGGATCAAAGTTTATAAATTCTCAAAAGACATTGCTAACAGGATCATGGACCAGTTAGCCAAATCCCAGAATATTTGAACTGTAAGGTATCTTTGAAGTTTGAACAGGGTAGTTTTAGAATAGATGAAAGAAAGTACTTTTATGCAGTAGAAAAAAAAATCATGGAAGTGTTCAGAAATACAGAGTGAAAATACTATGTAAGCATTTTCAGGGACAGAAGAGATTCATACAAGGTTTATGTGGGGGAAAGTTGGCATGTGTGCAAACTCCTTTAAGGGAATTGAATGTAATCATGTTTGTAGTGACATTCTCTTAGTTTCTTATTTCTTTTTCTTCTTATTCTTCCTTTTTTGTTGTTGTTGTTGTTGTTGTTCTTGTTTTTGTTGGTGTAATATAGTTGTATATGTGGTACTAGGGATTAAACCCAGGGTGCTCTACCACTGAGCTAAATCTCCAGCTATTTTTATTTATTTATTTATTTTGAGACAGGGTCTTGTTAATTTGCTGAGGCTGGCCTTGAACTTGCCAGCTTCTGGACACAGCCTCTGGAGTCGCTGGGATTATATGT